TAAGGTGATACCTCTCAAGTTTGAGAACGATGGTTTGAGCAAGTTTTGTAATTCCCACTGCGGTGGATGACTAAGCGACGTTTCTTGCTCATACGATAGGTACTAATGATGGCTTAAACCGTTCTGGAGCAAGGGCGTTAAAGGAATTTACTTTGGGTTGTCTTTTGCGGCGCTCAGACACTGACACTAGATCTTGAACGTTTCGACATTGCCTGACACTGCTACCCTCACGAACTAATACAACAAGCAACGTCCGAAAGTGACTGATTGCCGGCGTGATGCCAGCCGTTTCGCGTAGACAAGAACTGTCAGAATTGTAAGCTTACGTTCTAAAATGCTAGCTACCTTATTTAACTTTTGTTCTGTGACAAGTCTTTAAACTCTTAGTAGTTTCTTTTGCTCATTTTGCGTCAGTATTATAATGATTGTTTTAGGGTCTAATCGATATAAATCTCGAGGTAAGCAAGCTCACCAGCAGGAGAGAAAAGCTTATAAATCAGTTAGATGCATTTAAAAAAGTAATGACGACTGTGGACTATGAAGAAAAAGTGCCGAAACAAGTCAAGGAAAGTAACATCACGAAAGTAAGTTCCACCGCTGTGTAGCCACTACATCAAATACTATCTTCTAGGAGGCGGAACTGAAAAGCGAGTTGACTCATATTGAGGAAAGTATCTCCGCACTCGTTGGTATGCTTGAAAACACAGAACGACATCTCTAAACATATTCGTCGTTTCATAATTTTACTCTGAATTAAAGCATGTAGGTGTTTTGGTGCTAGTACGCAAGTTCAAACATTTCACTCCAATAACACCGTGTTTAGTAATGCACCACAAACTTTGAACAGTTAACTAGACTGTGAGTTGACAGTTTCTGCCAACAACACAGAGGACTAAAGCAACATCGTGTGGGGCTTTTCCATAAAGTTTCGGAAACAACTGGCCCACTTGGCTCCTACTGCTCCATCGATCACTCGATGGTCGCAGCTGAGAGTTACCTTCATAATGTTCGCCTCGACAAAACTAAAATCAACGTCGCAGTGTAGCAGTATGGTCATCAATGTCGGCAACTGTTATGATTTACTCACCCTTTGTTAGTATCCGGAACTAGTAGTTTCTGTACACCACCGATCGCTAGAATCGCTGACTGCGGAGGATTGATGATTGCGGAAAAATTATCGACACCAAACATGCCCAAATTGGAGACTGTGAACGTGCCGCCCTAAAAATATTACCGCCGTAATACGAAGCTCCACACAGAAAAAGCAAACAGGCGAAGCGATAAGTTTGTGTGCTTTACATGGCTGCAAAAGTTTTATAATACTGAAGTTAAAGCTCCCCCGCTCTGCATATTCTGGACACGATTTCTAACGTATGCACAAAAACAGAAGTTACGATATTATAGAAGATACGCTAATGTACATTAATACACTACGATGCGATAAATACTGCTTAAACTGTTTTTGCTGCTACGTCCAGTTAGTGATATAACAGCTTCCTAACAATACGTGTTTAGACGTAAACTGAATACGGCAACCATCATTAGGACGATGTCCGTGCCATCCTTAAGCAAATCAAGAGGTTCATAACGTTTTCTGAAATATAGAGAAGCGTCATTTTCATTCTAATGATACTATCTTTCCATTAACTTGCTTATGTCTCAAACTACGGAGGGAGAAGGAAATTACTCTCAAAATCAGATAAGTTCGCTATCTGTAGCAAAATATTCGTTGTTTTATTATAAAGCTAATTCCTTGGGAAAGGTTTTTATGAATTTTTTTGATACCAACAAATATTTTGGCACTTGCAAATGGCAGACTTTTAAAGTGATTTCTTCTAAAAATGTAATGTCAAAAGTTACATTATCAGTATGTTAGTGTTGTTTCCATATCCGGCTACGGCTGCTACTGTTCTCTATATTGCAACCAGTTTAGAACCACAGACAGCAAACACGAACAGCTAACCTCTCTCTTTGCCATTTAATGCAGGGCGCCATTTGTGGAACTATTTTTACCGATTCTCCTTTGTATTATATTTGCAAACATTTTCACGAATGCGAAAATCCATCCTGACGACAACTTCAACCCGTTTCCCATCTTTGTAAGATACTCAGAAACTATTTTCGCTTCTCGCTACCGAGGAGAATATGTAAAAAATATTCAATTTACTTTACTGCCCTTACCCCAAAATAAGCAGTTCTAAACCTACAATAGAAAATTCGTAAGAAATAGAACAAAATTCGCTTATACTACACCTACATTGAATAAAGTCAGTAACATTATTAATGGAATAACTGTCATTGCAGCAGTAACGTTAAAAACAACTATCAAATAAAATGTACGTAATCCTCGCTTATAAAGTGCAGTAAGATGCTAGTTTTAGCAGAAAAGTTAGATTTTAGTAAATACGTAAATGTAATCTATAATTCTTCGCTAAATAATAATTCTGAATGCAAATCCCCCAGGTTGGATTTTATAAAATACCATGTAACTGCCGGCAATTTCACGCGCTGGAAGCAGAGAGCAATCTAAACACCTCCCCCAACTAAAAATTTTACAAGATGAACATAAGCAATTTGAATGCTCAAAGTGTGAAGCCAGAAACAATATCCTATCCCTTCAAATCAAGATTCAGTGCACGACGATCGAATAATGCGTTCCAAAGAAAGACCCCCACCCTAGGGTTACAGTGCGCTGACTCGAAAAAGAAAGATTTGGCTGAACAGGAGCGACAAGTATTAGCCATCTAATCTGATGACAGTTTCAACCGTGACAAAGATACGAATCATGTGGAGATCGTATGGGCTCTGTCTCGCCTGTTGTCATGAAACTGTTAAAGCAGAGCATATCTTTCGTTATTGCTAGTAGACCTACAGCCGTCGCAGACAACACCAGATGAAAAGTAACCACCTCGTTCTGAACAAGGCATGCGACGTGCCGACCGAAATGCGGGGTGGTTTTTATTATCCCACGTAAACATTTGCGCAGTTAAAACAAAACTTTACGAAGCTGTTTTGTAGCAGCTTCCCAATGTATGAACAAAATACAGTGTTCTGACTTTGAAAGACATCAGTTCAGAGTATGCAGAGATTTGGGAAAGAGAGCAATATCCGTCGGAATGCGACATGTGAAAATGTATCAGAGAAACTACCGTTGTACTGAAACGAAAATCTTTACATCACTTCATGTTCTCAGTGCTAAAGTACGGGTGTGAAAAACTGACGCTAAACTTCTAAGTTGTTCACAAACTATGCAAAGCAGCATGGAAAAGTATGTTAGAGGAATGAAAAAAGAAACCAGACGAACGAACAGATAAAAGCACAAACAGGGATCTGCGATGTCAATGAACGATAAAGTTAATATGGCAATGGCCTTGACACTTTCAGAGGAGCGGACCATCCCTGGACAAACAAATCAGAGTGAGTTACAAGAGACAGCAAACGGTCCATGAAAAGACTACTTCCAGGTTTCATGGAAAGGATCAGTTCAACATATGTGTGCAACGTCGATAAGAACTGCAGAAGCCAGACTTTCGTGGAAAACTTCATCTTCAACGTTCATTCGGCAGTGGATCGCAAAAGGCTGATGATAGTGATGTGACTCGAAACGTAGTCTATTAATTTCCCGTATACAGTGGTACCTCGAGTCACGAACAACTCGACCCACGAACGCAATTTCCGAACAAACTTTGACTCGACCTGCGTACAATGCCTCGACGCACAAACATGACTTCGGGTAAGCGGACAAAAGCCCCCGTGAACAAAAACAAATTTTGACTCCATGCGCGCACAATGCCTCGGCGC